CTGGGGCTGAAGAGGATGAGAAAAGGGGGGAAATGGTGATCTTACCGCCGCTGAAGGAGACTAATCGCCGTCTGGGAACTCGCGCCGCCGCCTGCACCCTATCACCTCTCCTGTTCTCCTGCTCCATCCCAAGAAAAAAATAATGTTTCGTTTTCGGGGAATCTTGCATATTTGACGCTATTGATATGACGCCTCCAACTTTTAGTTGTTTGTCTTCCTATTTATCGATTCCAAATAAGATATTTAACTCCAAAAAGTAGCCCAAATCAAATTTAATAAGGAAACTTTAGTTTCTAGAGGAAGACTTTTGAGTGCCGGTAAATTAGACGTGCCTCCACACTTTTCATTAATGTGTCCCAACAAAAAAAAAGCTAAATATAAAAAAAAACCATTAGCTTTGGACAATTATTAGATAAACCCACAACTTTCAAAATATTAGAAGCCTCTTAACTTTAAAAAATGACTAAATGTCTAAAAATTCCTCTTAGATTTGGGCAACAATTAGTTAAGCAGAGTATTCTAATATTTAGCCACAAAATATTCCTACATCTCCCACTTATCATGTCCATTCATGCCACTATTGTCACATCATAATTGTAAGTATCTCCTTCAACTCATTTTACTGTTTATGTTTTAGATATTTTTTCCCCGCATTTAAATGAATTCAACATTTAGATAATTTGTTTCACATAAAAGGTATAAAAGCCTTCTACAAGATCAATGTTGCTCAGTGAACAGAAAAAATAACCAAAAATAAAAATGCTACATACTTGTTTATTTCATATTGACTATGAGTTGAGGATCCTACATCACAAAAAACCCAGTAAATTATTCAAAATTGATAGAATGAAATTAAAAAAAAAAAAAACTTCTACAATCTTATAATTAAGTATGCCATAAAAAGAAAGAGTTTACTTAAATTTTCAATATAATAATTAAAATCACCTCAAACTGACTCAATTCGAAATTAATATCAAAGTTTTAACTAAAAAATAGATGAATACATTGGAGCAAATACATATTTGGACAAATCCGATCCTAATGAAAAGCGAAAGCCTCTTCATCCTTACTTTTGTTGGAAATCGGAAACTCATAGAGTTCAAAATGAAAAGAATTGAGGAATGTGTTATTGAATTCTATCAACTGGGGGCTATAAATAGCCTTTACATGAGAAGGAAATAACGAACTTACGCTCTACAAGCCTTCAGCGTAGAAATTCGAATTTTAAAAAAACAAACTCTATCTTCCCTGAAGAACAAGTCTTATTAGCAACAAACTAGATTAAAAAGCAAACATAAAAACAGAAGCAACAAACTCTAACTAACATTCCCTCCCTTAAGCTAAAGCATTTGTGCTTAGCTTACTTCCGATGCACTGACCATCCCAAGCATGTTTCTAAGTCTCACAAACTGCTCTAACTTGAGAGGCTTCGTCATCAAATCCGCAACTTGATTCTGAGAATTGCAATAGTTCAACTCCATAACTCCATCATTCACCAAATCCCTCAGAAAGTGGAACCTCACATGAATATGCTTGCTCTTTCCATAAAAAAACTGGATTCTTAGATAACTGAATAGCAGAACTATTATCACATTTAATCACAGTACCTTTCTTCTCCTCTACTCCAAGTTTCTCCAAAATTCTCCTAAGCTAAATGCACTGACAAGCACAGAGAGTGGCTACAATGTACTCGGCTTCGGTGGTAGACAAAGTCGCCACTGGTTGTTTCTTGGAGGACCATGAAATAGCTCCAGACCCTAGCATGAACACAAACCCAGAAGTACTTCTTCGATCATCAAGATCATCAGCATATCCACTGTCCGTAAAGGCCAAGAGCTCTGAACTACTTGCTCCCCTCTTATAGAATATGCCTAGCTCGGTTGTTCCCTTCAAGTATCTCAGGTTCCTTTTGGCAGCCAACCAATGTGACATAGTTGGACTAGACATAAACCTGCTAATGAGACTCACACCATACATCAAGTCAGGTTGAGTCACAGTTAAATACACGAGACTTCCAACCACCTGTTTGAACAAAGTTTCATCCACCTTGGTCCCTCCTTCATATTTCGACAATTTTGTGCCTGGAACAATTGGATTTTCCCGGCATTATTGCTCGTCATGCCAAACCTTGCCAATACTTCACGAGCATACCTCCTCTGACATATAAAAATAACATTCGAGCTCTGCAAAACTTCTACTCCAAGAAAGTGTCTCATTCTTCCCAAATCGGACATATCAAACTCTAGCATCATTGAATTTTTAAACTCATGACACATGCTTATATCACTTTCAGTAAAGATTAAATCATCTACGTAAAGGCTTACGATTAACATTTTACCTCCTTTCGACTTTGTAAACAGGGTGTGCTCATTGGAACATCTCTCAAAACCATCTCGTACAAAGTAGGTCTCAATCTTTCTATACCACGCCCTCGGTGCTTGCTTGAGGCCGTATAGCGCCTTCTTCAATCGGTAAACTCTTCCTTCTTCACCTTTCTTAACAAATCCCTCTAGCTGTTGCACAAACACCTCTTCATTGAGTTCTCCGTGAAGAAAAGCACTCGTCACGTCAAGTTGAAAAACTTCCCATCCACACTGTGCTGCCACTGCAAGTATCACTCGAATGGTGTCAAGCCTCACCACAGGTGCAAAAACTTTAGTATAATCCACTCCATAATGTTGTGCATAACCTTTAGCCACCAATCTTGCCTTGAACTTCTCTACGGCCCCATTTTCATTAAGTTTGGTTTTGAAACCCCACTAACTCTAATAAGCTTTACTCCTCTAGGCAAATTTTGTCAGCTCCCATGGCTCGTTCCGTTCTATAGCCTCAATTTCTGCTGCCATACCCTCTCTCCACTGCTCGCTTTTAATTGCTTCTTCAAACAGGAATGGGTCATCTTCAGTTACCATCATCATTGCCTTCAGACCTTCCTCCTCTGCTAACCCTTCACCTGTTACATAGTCCACCATCTAGGCCGATTCTCTCATGTTTCTTGTACCCCTCCCTTCAACTAGAACATCATTCTCTTCATTTGGAGTTGTACCACTCGAACTGCTATTGGAGCTACTGCTTGCGGTATTCATATTCTCACCTTCAGTTGCTTCATTCTGCTCCTCTCCATTTAGTTCACATGCTGAATTAAGATGGCTAAACCCTTCTTCTGAAGTTGTCCTATACTCAACAAATTGTTTTATAACTTAGGTATGTAATAGACATATGAGATTACCTGAGTAATGCCATTCATTTGAAGTCGTATGCTCCCTTTAGCCACCACTACCATTCTGGTGTCATTTCCAAGCTTCACTATTTGTCTAAGACCCTCCTCTAGCTTTGTGAACCATTCTTTGTTTCTGGTCATGTGATTTGAACACCCTGAGTCGAGGAACCATACTTCTTCTCTCTTGGTTTGATGCGGCTCGACGTAGGACATCAACAAAAGCTCTTCTTTTTCTTCAAGTTCAGCATAGTTGGCCTTCTTCTCCCAATCGGGACACTCATATTGGTAGTGTCCTAACTGATAGCATTTAAAACATTCGACTGTGGCTCTATTTAGGGATTGTTTACCCCTTCCTCTGCCTCGATTCCCTCGATATGAGCCTCTTCCCCTTCCTCTCCCTGATTTGTCATCATACGAAATCCTCAGGGCTTGTTCCTCCTCCTGATAGCCCTGCATTCTTTGCTCTTGAACAAGTAGACTTCCATGAAGCTCATCAATGCTCATAGTGTTCAGATCATTCAGCTCTTCAATGGAACGAACAACATAGTTGAACTTGGGTGTCAATGATCTCAAAACCTTACCAACCACCATGCTAGGCTCCATGACTTCACCATTCACCTTCATTTCGTTCACCGCAGTTAGGGTGCGAGCCAAGAAACTATCTATCTTCTCTCCTTCCTTCATGTTCAACAACTCGAACTCTTTCCGCAACGCTTGGAGTTGTGCCTGCTTCACCTTGGTGGACCCCTGATATTTCTGCCTCATCGAGTCCAAAATTGCCTTCGACGTCCCCTTATCAAGAATGGTCTCCAAGATCTCTCTATCTATTGCTTGGAATAGAAAATTTTTGACCTTCAGATCCTTGATTTTGGCTTCTTCGACACTCTTCCTCTGTGGATTTTCCCGGCATTATTGCTCGTCATACCAAACCTTGCCAATACTTCACGAGCATACCTCCTCTGACAGATAAAAATACCATTCGAGCTCTGCAAAACTTCTACTCCAAGAAAGTGTCTCATTCTTCCCAAATCGGACATATCAAACTCTAGCATCATTGAATTTTTAAACTCATGACACATGCTTATATCACTTTCAGTAAAGATTAAATCATCTACGTAAAGGCTTACGATTAACATTTTACCTCCTTTCGACTTTGTAAACAGGGTGTGCTCATTGGAACATCTCTCAAAACCATCTCGTACAAAGTAGGTCTCAATCTTTCTATACCACGCCCTCGGTGCTTGCTTGAGGCCGTATAGCGCCTTCTTCAATCGGTAAACTCTTCCTTCTTCACCTTTCTTAACAAATCCCTCTAGCTGTTGCACAAACACCTCTTCATTGAGTTCTCCGTGAAGAAAAGCACTCGTCACGTCAAGTTGAAAAACTTCCCATCCACACTGTGCTGCCACTGCAAGTATCACTCGAATGGTGTCAAGCCTCACCACAGGTGCAAAAACTTTAGTATAATCCACTCCATAATGTTGTGCATAACCTTTAGCCACCAATCTTGCCTTGAACTTCTCTACGGCCCCATTTTCATTAAGTTTGGTTTTGAAACCCCACTAACTCTAATAAGCTTTACTCCTCTAGGCAAATTTTGTCAGCTCCCATGGCTCGTCTCGTTCCGTTCTATAGCCTCAATTTCTGCTGCCATACCCTCTCTCCACTGCTCGCTTTTAATTGCTTCTTCAAACAGGAATGGGTCATCTTCAGTTACCATCATCATTGCCTTCAGACCTTCCTCCTCTGCTAACCCTTCACCTGTTACATAGTCCACCATCTAGGCCGATTCTCTCATGTTTCTTGTACCCCTCCCTTCAACTAGAACATCATTCTCTTCATTTGGAGTTGTACCACTCGAACTGCTATTGGAGCTACTGCTTGCGGTATTCATATTCTCACCTTCAGTTGCTTCATTCTGCTCCTCTCCATTTAGTTCACATGCTGAATTAAGATGGCTAAACCCTTCTTCTGAAGTTGTCCTATACTCAACAAATTGTTTTATAACTTAGGTATGTAATAGACATATGAGATTACCTGAGTAATGCCATTCATTTGAAGTCGTATGCTCCCTTTAGCCACCACTACCATTCTGGTGTCATTTCCAAGCTTCACTATTTGTCTAAGACCCTCCTCTAGCTTTGTGAACCATTCTTTGTTTCTGGTCATGTGATTTGAACACCCTGAGTCGAGGAACCATACTTCTTCTCTCTTGGTTTGATGCGCCTCAACGTAGGACATCAACAAAAGTTCTTCTTTTTCTTCAAGTTCGGCATAGTTGGCCTTCTTCTTCCAATCGGGACACTCATATTGGTAGTGTCCCAACTAATGGCATTTAAAACATTCGACAATGGCTCTATTCAGGGATTGTCTACCCCTTCCTCTGCCTCGATTCCCTCGATATGAGCCTCTTCCCCTTCCTCTCCCTGATTTGTCATCATACGAAATCCTCAGGGCTTGTTCCTCCTCCTGATAGCCCTGCATTCTTTGCTCTTGAACAAGTAGACTTCCATGAAGCTCATCAATGCTCATAGTGTTCAGATCATTCAGCTCTTCAATGGAACGAACAACATAGTTGAACTTGGGTGTCAATGATCTCAAAACCTTACCAACCACCATGCTAGGCTCCATGACTTCACCATTCACCTTCATTTCGTTCACCGCAGTTAGGGTGCGAGCCAAGAAACTATCTATCTTCTCTCCTTCCTTCATGTTCAACAACTCGAACTCTTTCCGCAACGCTTGGAGTTGTGCCTGCTTCACCTTGGTGGACCCCTGATATTTCTGCCTCATCGAGTCCAAAATTGCCTTCGACGTCCCCTTATCAAGAATGGTCTCCAAGATCTCTCTATCTATTGCTTGGAATAGAAAATTTTTGACCTTCAGATCCTTGATTTTGGCTTCTTCGACACTCTTCCTCTGTGCCTCACTCGCCGGTGCTGTTCCTATTACCGGTGTAGGAAGCCCTTCATGTACCAGGTTCCACATCTCCTTGCTCCTCAAGAAATTCTTCATCAACATCGACCAATGGTCGTAGTGGCCGTCAAATCTCGGAATAGACGGCTGTAGGAACTTCTCTGAGGTTGTCATGCTACACTCACTCTGTGTTTGATCTCACAAACTCTCGTGTTTTCTCTCACTCTCACACACTCCTATCCGGTTCCTTTCGGATATCTGATACCAATTGTTGAAAATCGGAAACTCAGAGAGTTCAAAATGAAAAAAATGGAGGAATGTGTTATTGAATTCTATCAACTGGGGACTATAAATAGCCTTTAAATGAGAAGGAAATAACAAACCTATGCTTTACAAGCCTACAGCGTAGCAACTCGAATTTTAAAGAAACAAACCCTATCTTCCCTGATTGGAAGAAGAAGGCCAAAATTGATAATTTAAGAGGTAGTTTTACAAATAGTAAGATTTAGAGGGTATTTTTATAAATATGCATGATTTAAGGTATATATATGGAAATAACCCTACACTTTACAATGACAGTAACAAAGCTTTTATCCCATTTTGATTTTTTTTGGATAGGGTCAGTGAACCACGCGAATTTTACCCTTTGATTCTTCTGCTTAGGATTATTTTTTAGTTTTATCCTTTTTTAATTACTTCAGCCTAAATTTTTTAATTTATAAATAAATTATAATCTTATTATCTCTTCTAGTTAGTGTTCTTTTTTTGGCCTTAGTGGCATTAGATCAATAATCGGTGATTCGATCAACTTAAAATTTTCGACCAATGTACTCATTTTTTTACATTAGTGTAAATTTAATAATAATTATAACATTCTCATTTTTTGTCACACTTATTTTTTTCCCCCGTTAATTGTAGAACGAAGATCATAAAAGCTATAACCCAGTGCATAGTATGGTCATAAGATCTCACAAAGTGAAGAAATTTATTATTAATTCATAAATAACCAATAGAATACAAGTACAAGCGCACATAGGAAATTGAATATCAATGGTGATCAAGAAACAGAAGCAAAAAGGCCACCGCCTAAGGCCCAACAGGCTTTGATGACGGAGAGGTGAGTGGAAACAGTGTCAACAACTCGGGCTCAGAACTATTTGGCCTAGAGGCCGTAGGTGAGCGGTGCAAGTAAAACCTTCTCTCCCTAATAGCCTTCTCCTCTGCCTCCTCGTCCGAGCCCAAACTTGACGCTTTCTTGCACTTCTCATCGCTTAACTTCAGGCCCGATATGTAAGCCGAAGGGGAAATCAATGTTGAATGATGGCCGGATGGGCTAGACAATGTGAAGCCCATTAGGGGAACCACAGGTGTGTTGGGCCTTATGATAGTAAGCTTCTGTCGTCGGCCCTGTCTTCTGTCCTGAAGCTTGAATGTGGGCCTTTTGACACTAGCGGGCTTTAGAGCTGTGGACGAGGTGCTTGGACTGGTTTTGGCTGAAGATCGATAATTCGGCCCAGTAAGTCTTTGGACGAGCTCTTTGAAGGTAGTTGGATCCGTTTCTACGAATGTAGTCGATGGGCTGCGGGCCTTTGGGCTTGAGCTTGGGCCTGATGGTTTCTCCATAAATAGTTGAATTCTGGCATGCGTCCACAATTCTTCAGATGCAAATATACAGAGCTTTTTGTGAAATTTGTAGAAAATTCACAATTCATATCGCAAATGCGACAACAAGATCAGAGGAAAACAGAACGTGACATCATATGTTGTAAGCTAAGGCGCCAAAGGGAGTAAGAGAGAAAGCGGAGTGTTATTCTCTTGAAGCAAAAGCATTGCCCTTTGAGTTTTTATGGACTTTTTACACTAAGGATTGCACCCAACACATTCCTATTCCTAAAAATTACAAATTTCTTCTTTTTATTAAGAAAAGTGTACATCTTAGAGTTTCCTAAGCCTTTCTAATTAATCACCATCCCTTGTTTGATGGTGAAAGATGTTAGATGGTCACCAAAATTTGACTCGACTTGTTATTTTAATACTTTTTTATGAGAATAAATTTGAGTTGTTATGATTACGTAAGATACAATACAATCAACGTGAGATGCCATGTAATGCAAGAAAAAGAAAGAGTAGGGGAAAGAAATAAAAAAAGTAGTCAAAGGAGGGACACAGTTTTTAATGGAATCCATATTGCTTTTGCAATAAAAAAATTGTTTTAATGGACTTATTATAGACTAAGGTTTAAGAAAGAGCATATGTTTTAGTAAAGAACATGTTTTAGTTCACTGAAAACATAATAAGAGGCAAAATATAGAAGAAGAAATAACAAATCACAATAGAGAATTAAACCATAGAAACTCTTTTCACGTTGAATTAGTCCAAACAGAAAATAAATTGGCATTCATCGTTATGGCAAGTAAAAAGAGTCTTGGAATTTGTTTTGAAACCCATAAACTAATATTTTTTTGATAATTTTACTTCTTAAATTAATGTCAGGAGTTGTGATTTTCGGGGATTACGGCAGATTTTAAAAGGTTGTGAAAGGATAAAAGTCTAGAAATTATAACAAATTTCTTTCTGTCATGGAAATAATGAGCTCAATGTCCATATTTTGAACATCCAAGAATCAAAACACATCTTCCTGTTTATTTATAGTCAGTTATTCAAGGTTTAGAAATTATCTTGAATGATGGTTAATTTATCGTTTTTTAAATCTCAAAAGAATGCCAAAAAGGCTCGAAACTATATATTGAAATCCACTTAGTTAGAATTTAATTTCCAAAGAACTATTCATAAATCCTCGCATTTCTTCAAACAGGCCAAATGGGGTTTTTTTTTTTTTAAAGTTAACATAACAAATTAACGGGAACAAAATTAATTGATCACCAAGCATTGCTCAATATTTACGAAAATAAAAGAAAACTCACCTAGATATCTTCAACTTCAAGATATCGCGCTGCAACAGGAGAGAGCTGAGGGATAAGCAGAGGAAACGAGAGAAGAATGAATACGTATGAAGAAGAAGCAAAGAACTTTTTAACTCCGATATGCAAACGTGTACAGCTCAAGAGCTATTTATGTGTACGACAACCAAGTCAACAAGGCGTGAACAAAGATCGCGACAGTCAGATCCTAATCGTGTGCCGAAGGAGCACGGGAACAGGGAGAGGTGCGTACGTAGCTCCAGCGAGAGGAACGAGCGAAGCGGTTTCAAGTAAAATGGTGCCAGTTTGGACAAAAGAGGAAAGCTTTGCGCAGAGACGACACAAACTCACGCATGC